TACCACGACTGTTAGAAATTATTACAATTACTCCCAATCCATGCCCAAAAATTCAGCGCTCTGGATGCCTCAATTGCAGAGTTACGTCAAATTTCACGTGTTTGCACGTGAGTAGCAACGTGGATGCTTTTATCGCTCGCGGTTGCTCAAACACGGCCCTGGGTAGTGCTCAAAAAGTTCCAGTACTCAAGCTGCTCTAGTTGCAGAGTTACGTCAAATTCCACGTATTCGTGCGTGAATGGCAACGTGAATGCCTTTTTCGCCCACGGTTGGTCAAACACAGTCCTGGGTAGCGCTCAGAAAGTTTCAGCACTCCAGCTGCTCTGGTTGCAGAGTTACGTCAAATTTCGCTTACAGTTACTCAAAGACGGCCCTGGGTAGCGCTCAGAAAGTTTCAGCACTCCAGCTGCTCTGGTTGCGGAGTTACGTCAAATTTCATGTATGTACACGTGAGATTTACGTGACGCGTGAAAGTGACATGTAAGTCGTTTTTGCGTGCACTTGGTCAAAGGTCACCGTCGGTTGTGCTCAGAAAGTCCAGGTCCTTTGGCTGGTTCAATTCTGAGGTTACAAAAGCGCGTGCGTGAAATTTTCACGTGTTCGTGCGTGAGATGCACAAGACCTGACAAGTGATTTACTTCCACGGGCGCAACAGCAGGTGACAAGTAACGTTGCGAAATTGCAGCTCTCTGCAGCTTATCAGTCAGCTTAAATCTAGAATTGGCATGATGCCAGTTTAAACTCTGACGTGTGCGTACGTGAGACCTGGGGGTGCGTGAAGGCTGAATTTAAAATCTTTGGATTAGACGCGGCCAAGGAACATATCTGTGAAGTTCCAACCTTCTAGTATGGGCCGTTCCCGAAAGCGCTTTCCCGCCAAAAAAAATTTCACTTGCCCCTACGTGAGAACCACGCGGATCCGAGCGTCCATTTTCAGAATAGGAGCCCGCACGTACGTGTAGATTAATTCACCAAATTTTCAGCCTTGTCGCTTTTGCGGATCTCGAGATGAAGACTCGTTACAGACACACATAGACACACATACACACACATACACACAGACACAGACAACCCGTCGGCAATATGCGTTTTTGCATTGCATAGCTGCAAAAAATGCATAAAAACGCATATTGGGAAGAGGCTGTGTGTGTGTTCGCACTTTTTGTCACCCACTTTCAACTCGAGACCCAGAAAAGCTAGAAGGCTGAGAAAAACTTTAGAGGTATGTGCCCATACCATGCGCGACCCTCTTTTTTAATTTCATCCCTCTCGGACACCTGGGCGCCGCGTACGGACGGTTTAAAAAAATATGCAAATTTTTTGACGGGAAAGCGATCTCGCGAACCACATGAGCTAAGGGGCTGAAACTTTGTAGGGATATTCTCTGTGCATGTACTAGCCAAAGATTTCATATTCAGCCCCCAGGTATGTGTGGTACTCACGTAAGGGCGTGTGAAAGTTTTAAGGGGGA